ATAGATCCAAAAAACTTACCTTAACTTTGAAAATAAATTTGGCATAAAAAAGTTTCAAACTGTAGTTTTTGGAATAAAAAGGATCAACGAAATTGCAGGAAAAGATACGGCACTTACACAACATATCATCCTCTCTTCGCTTCTCACGTCAGATTTGACATTACCGGTACATTACTTTGTTAGATAAAATATATTATTAAGTCTAAGAAAACTGCTATTAACAATATAAGAGGTTCTACCCGCAAATTCACGGGTGTACAGAAGCCACCATTAAATTAATTTAATCAACTTTGACTTTATATTTCATTTAAAGGGCCCAAGTTCGAGAAATTGTCATCTGAAAGGATGGTAAAAAAGCATTGGAGCCTTCAAACCTTACGTCCTAAGGTGGGTAGGGTTGTACCTGAACTCGCCGCTCTCTTTCACGTCTTTAATACTTTACTTACTTGTCAATGAAATGGCGACCTGTTAAAAATCGGTTACAACCTCTTGGAACGAACGACATACATGGTTTGTTAATCTCATATTCATCGTGTTTCGAACACCTTTAACCACTCACTTGTATCAAACGGCTAGAGATAGCTTCACTGTCTATTCACCGCACCTCTTTTAAGAACATAAACCAACAAACTATATTGTAAATTGCATTGGCCAGCTGTTGTTCACTAAATTACTCAAATAACGTTAACTTCCAAAACATGCAAGGCGTAGCCCTTTGGAAATCAGTCTGTGGGGCAGACCTCTTAGGGAGTTTGTCCATATCAAAACTTTTCAGAAAATCTACACACTCTAAGCTTCATTTTGATATTCCATATGTCTATATTTTTATTTGGTAAATGGCCTTAACCGTTTACATAACATTTGTTTGCATCACTTTAATATGTTCCTACCCATATAACACATGTACATCAATTGAACATTAAATTGATGTTCAAGAATGTTCAACTGAACATCGTATGCACATTCATGTTTGTACAAATTACGACTTTAACGTTCAATTATTGTACAAACGTCACAAACATCGATATACATATGATGTGCGTATCTCGATCAATTGATGATCAATTTTACATCAAATTGTTATTCAATTTAGGTTAAATTAAGATTCAATTGGACATCTAGTGAACATCATATGCACATTCATGTTTGTACAAATTGAGACTATTTAATGTTCAATGAATGTACAAACGTCACAAACATTGATGTGTATATTTAGTCCAATTGATGATCAATTTGATATAAAACTGTAATTCGATTTATGTACAATTGGACATTACGATTATTTGACTAAAACAGTGAAAAGCCGCAATCTTTGGTGACACACAAAGTGTCTGGTTCAGTTATCTATTTCAACTATAAATTTTACATTAAAAAATAAATCTATTTTTCAACTTTTGGTGGATAAAAACTCAAAGTTTAGACAAAACTATTTATTATATTCTATGCAAGTTAAAACCAAATTATGTAAAGAAATTACAAAAACTTATAAAATCAAATAAAATGGAAATAAATGTTTCTTCGTCCACTCCAATCCTAATCATTGATGGTTGCGACAGCAGCACATTTTGCCCTGAAACAAATATAATAGATTAACTTAATTATCGGTATGATTGTAGTCAATATTAATCATGGTGGGGTCTTGAATGATCAGGACTGCTTGTCAAAGAGTAGAGTTTAACATTATTCATTTTATTTAAATATTTGCATAGGCCTAAGGCATTATTTCAAAATATTCTAATAAGAACGTGTAATAAATTGACGTGACAACAAATCAGCTAAGTTATTAAAAACACACATTATCTTCGAATGTAAATGTTCCGGGCTCCTGCATGTGCTGACAGTTTAATCGGTTAGTATGAAAAACACAAAATGTGAACACATCGACAGTTTGATTGCCGATACACATTGAAGTAGCCTACACAAAATTTAGTCTATAAGTAAGTTAGGCCTACTTTGTTCTTACTAATCAATCTTAGTCGTTCTTATTTATAATTTGTCGATTGGATTTGATTCTACGACTAATAACATAATATAACACATAATATACGAATAATAACACTTTTGAATAATTTAAAACAATGATATTATTGCATTGTGGTTGGGTTGGGTTAGATAAGGACTCAGGGTCTCGGCGCGTCAACCATAGCGTATTATGCATTACATTCTTACTTTTGTTCTACTCAATGGTTCATTGAGGTCTACTCAATGGTTCATTGAGGTCTACTCAATGAATGTACCATTATTGCTATATGATTACCGTAACTAATTGAAGGTGAAATAACTTAGGTACCGGTAATCAATAGATTGACTTGTTTGTAAACACCAATAGTAATATGAGGCGATGAATTTGAATATCAAAGTTTTAACTCAATTAGCCTACACTATGTATTGGCTAAATCTTAGAGGGTTATAGATAGTATTAACCTATTATTATTTGAAATTGGTTAAGTTCACTTTGGTTTTTTTTTCAATTTGTTTGGTTATAACTTTTATAAGTAAATAAGGCCTATTGCTTTATAAAAAAAAAAAAAAAAAAAAACGCAGATTAGAGGGTACGCGTCTGGTTACTGAATGTGGATTACTTAGGCACCCGGCATTGACGTCACCGGGTTGTGGGGGACCGGAACACCATTTCCACAACGATACGATATTTAGCCATTGGTGTTCGTGGTGTGTAGATAAAGTACATGGCTGATGTACATGAGGTATCTAGATCGAATCACATCGGTGATAGGCCCTAGAAGTTACTAACTTTTTGTCAAAGATTTTGCTTAGAATCCCATTTCTTCTTAACTGTACATCTTTGGTTAGAATTTTTGGCATTTATTTTTATTTTATGAACAGAATTTAACCTTCATTTGATTTGTTCATTATCAGCAAGTTTGGTTGGTTAGGTTAGGTTATGACTGTAGGCATAACTGCCGGACGCATAATCCATGTCCACGGTCCCGGTTGCGTATCCTCTGCGAAAAGGATAACTTAACCTAATGTTATTCTTAAGCAAGTGAGCAAGTTATTCTTAGAACAAAACAGAAAACATTTTTTTAGTTTATTATGAATTTCTGTAATTTATAAGTTAACTGTAGGCCTAGGCCTAAGTTTATTCCCAGCATACAAATTAACGATAACAAAATTAAATTTAAGATGCTCATGATACTTAAAATCAATAACTTAGTTTCACATACCGGTAGGCTATTACCACCTATGTTTTATTAGTAATAAAGGGTACGGTACAGTTTCTTAACTGGGCTATGCTGATATCGATTGAAACTATCGATTCGATTAGTAAACCTTCATGCGATTTTTTCACCGTCAGCAAGTTTGGTTGGTTAGGTTAGGTTATGATAGTTTAATTTTACATTATAATAAGATACATTTTAAAATATCGATTACTATCCAATATTTCCAATTCGATAGTTTCAATCGATATTAGCATAGCCCAGTTAAGAAACTGTACCTGTAATAAATCTTGTAATAAGATCTGGGTACAGTTTCTTAACTGGGCTATGCTTATATCAATTGAAACTACCGAATTGTAAATATTGATTAATAATCGATATTTTTAAAATATATATCTTTTTTTAATATATTTTAAATATTTTTAAATATATCTATTATAAAATTAAACTATCATAACCTAACCTAACCAACCAAACTTGCTGATGGTGAAAAAATCGCATGAAAGTTTGCTAATCGAGTCGATAGTTTCAATCGATATTAGCATAGCCCAGATAAGAAACTGTACCCTAAGATCTAAAACCCTTAAAAATTTTGTTGGATTATTTTATTCTCAGTTGGCCTATGTGGTGATTCACAAAAGTAAGTTATTTACCTTGCCTAGCCCCTAGCTGCATGCCATTAATGTATTTTTAAAACAACTAAGTTATGACAATCGTGTGATGTGTAAATAAGTTTTAATGAAAAATTAGATTAGGTAAGTTTACTGGTCTAAAAGCTTAAAAACAGGTTGATAAAAGGGCCTAAACGTACTTGATTTCTATCTCAACAACACAGTAGAGTCCCGCAAACTCGGCACTCGATAACCCGGCAGTCTGGATAACTCGGCCATCACCTGGCTCAGAAAATTAGTGATTTTTTGAGTCCGAGTTAAACATGGGCTCAAGTCAAAGCATTTGCAACTCGTGACAAGGATTTTTTGTACTATATCTGATGACTTAATACCTACTTGTAAAATAAATGTAAATAAATAAGGCAGCTAAAAGGAATAAAAATTGTATTGTTCTTATTTTTAACCCTAGTTCCCGATAACCCGGCATTTCACAAACTCGGCACCCTTCCAGTCCACATTGCGCCGAGTTTGTGGGACTCTACTGCATTAGCAAATAAGAGACCCTCTGTGTAATTTAATTAGACACTCAGGTGTGTGTTGTAAGTTACGGGGGAGGCCGAGATTTTGAATGTCCTGTTTTTATTCTGAAACAACCTGGTCATCCTACTCTGGGCCTGACTTTTACAAACACAAATCAATGACTAGCCTATGCCTAGCCTATATTAACTAAGCAAATCAGGTTAAGATTAGGTTTTTCTGGGTTTGGACTATCATGTGGTCCATAATACAAATTAAAAATAGCCATAACTTAAGCCTAATTATTAATACCTCAAAAGTTAATTAGGAATAATTACTTACCTTTAACTTTAAACTGTATGTAGGCCTATAAATAAATAGTAAACTTAAACTTAGTAACTTAGTTGAAGTGAAGGAGGAGAGTGATGAGGAAAGCACATAAACATAAACAAACGGCAGCCGACAGCCATACAATAACGAAAGTCGAAACGATACGATAGTGATAAACTTAGTACGAGTACGATATTCCACCTTCAACAGATCGCTCAATCGATTACGTCAACAACTTTTTTTCTGACAGCTGACGTCATCGAATCCTCTTCTGTACCTCCCTTGAGTAAATCCCCAGCACCCACCCGTTCGCGTTCTCCTACTCCTTCTGCTTCTGTCTGTTTATTAATCGATCGTTCAAAAAGTAGGTGCAAGATGGCAAGATATGTGAAATGGGGTGCCTTGTGTGTATTGGAATTCTTTACAGTGTTAAAGAAATTATGTTTTCTAACGTAGCTTTAGGGAATCTAAAGATGAACATTTTGAGAATATGAATATGTTGTATAACAATTTAGCCCTTTTTGGGGTTGCGTTTTATTCTCTAACTTCTACAGGTAAGATTGTTTATCGCCACTCTATGAGGTTCCTGGGATTTTGTCTTTGTTTAAAAAAACTCATTCTTAAACTAACACAATTTAAGTTAACTGATCTTGAATTTGAATGAGCATTCTTGCATCGCATATTGTTTAAAACAACATAGTGAATTATTACTCATGCCTAATTCATTGTCCTAGCCTAAGCTTAATTAAAATTTTACAAAGGCCCTAACTATCTTGAATATAAAGAGCTAGGCCTATATGAATATGTTGTATAACAATTCGGCCCTTGGAAATTTATTGCGATGAGGGTGACCAAGAGTGCTATAGTAATTTATTGAGTTTTTGCTGTTTTTAACAGTGCTGTGTAAGTGAAGGAATTAAACTTGACAGTTTCAACCAGGGCATTAATCTTTGCCTCTTTAATTGGGACTTTATTGTTTGGGCCTCTTTAATTGTTTGGGTGATTAAGTTATGCATATTAAGGTGACCAAGGGAACCTAGATAGTAATTTATATATCGTTAGAAACTAGATTTTTACCTGACAGCAATGGTGCAAAAATTTTCTGCTGTCACAAAAACATGGGAACATTAATTATTATCGATGTTTTTTTTTATATACAAGGTGTTTTTTTAAGTGTGCCACCATTGGGATCTCAGTAACTAATGATTTTACAGCAAACTTTAAATGGGGAACATTCTCTTGTTTTTAAAGAGGTTCAATAGTTATTTGTGCAACTAGTGAGCAAAGGGAGCAATTGACTCACTCGAGAGAAATAGGCGAGTGAGGAATGGTTTCTCGAGTAAGGAAATTGCACTTTGCACTCGAGTTGTACATTATATTTTTCCTACAGTTACAATAAAACAAATAAATTTGTAAAGAAACGTGACATATTTTTACACAGAAGTGAACTTTTAATATGACATTTAATGATCAACACGATCAACAGCAGTACAACAGCTGACCAGCTTGATTTACAGCCAGTGCTGCCAACGTATTTCGCGCGCATACTACCTTGTCTGCATGTTACACGCTCACTATTTTGTGCCTTCACGTTGCAAATCTGGAGTGAGACAAAGTAATTAGAGTGAGACAATGTTAACATGTTTCATTTTAACATTGTCTCAATGATGAGCGAATTGGCCACTTTGCTTTCTCTAATCAGTGAGAGAACATGTACATTGTTAGGTAACTGTAAGAAAAAATAATTAAATATTTGTGTTAGGTACAGAAGGTGCAGGAGAATGTCGTGATCTTCACGACAGAGTGATTACCCAAGGTCTTCACTACGTACCGGGTCCTGATACCTGTACTCTATGTGTCTGTGACAATGGTCAGCCTAAATGGTGCAAAGCTGTTCTTTGTTCTCCTCCACAAGTAAGTAGCCTATTACACAGCAAAATTGTTGTAAGCCTTCTAGATGTACACGGTAAAGATGATTGGTGTATTAAGTATGTAACTTTACGTAGGTAGGTGTAGTAAACTTAAAAAAACTAAGCTAGAACTGAATGCAATACCGTACTGTACCCCTAGAGAACCTTGATAAGCCAGTAGGCCGGATTTAAGAAAATGTCGGACCATCGAGAGGCCATTTTTAAACAAGTAATTTTACAAGTACCTAGCCTATTTTTTTTTTGTATTTTTTAACAAGTAGAAAATCATAATGACCACACAAAATTGCGGGAAAAGAAAATAATTTTGCCTCATCCGCGCAAGACGATGATGGTCTCCACACGACTCGTCCGGGAGAAGATTACAATTTTGCCGCAATGTCCACACGACATTACGACGATGATTACTATGTCCACACGACATAAAAAAACCCGATTTTTTCCACTTTTATTCGGGTTTTATTCGTTAAACAGTATTTGGAAATGATATTTCAGAATACAGTAGACCTCCTCTTAACCGACCTCGTATTAACCGATAATCGGATTATCCGCCTTTGATCGTAAAATAATACAGTTTGTTTTAACCGACCTTGCTTTGAGAGCAGCTCGGTTTAACCGCCGCTTTCTAGGAATCTCGGCATTTCCGCTCCCACGCTGGGAGATGAGAACTGAACTTCACAGGATATGACTTAGAATAAGTTATTTTGTATTGATCACAAAAAATATAGCATAGCCTATTGTCAGTTTGTCATCATCGTTCGTAGCGCGAGCACATCTGATCTGATTTGTTATCTGCGTGGCAAATTTATAACATCATAAAGTGCGTTACGATTTTGGGAACTGATTCTTATCGCTGGAGTAAACAAACAACTCAACTTGTAGGGAGGGCAGGGAAGGGGGGTTAACAACTCCAAGGTCAAGATAGTTTTTGTGCCTCGAGCCTCCAGTGAGAGGCTATAAATAAACATCCTGTCTTGTAACAAAATGGTTGCTTGTATCTTTAATTTCGACAAAAGGTTCTGTAAGATAGGAATTTTTATTGACTCTTGCCTAGTACTGTATTATAATATATATTCCACTGAAAGTAGGCCTATTTGACTTTACCATGTTTTGTGTTTTTTGTGACTTTTCTATGAATACGAAAAAGGAGATAAGAGTAGTTTATTTTATAAATAATGCAAGTATGACTTCAAAATAATGATTATATAATTCCAAATAAATAGCACTTCATTATGTTATGATTTTAGGGATTGCCTGTTTTAACCCTCCCAGTGTTACTTGACGAAAATTCGGCAAGCACCACACTTTGTATAGTGTTACTTGCCGATTTTTCGACAAGCAGACATCGTTTACGGCGAAGGCTCTATAACTGACTGAATCGGATTGAACTGGATCGAGTTAGGTATCGTTCTTTCCGTAATATTCTAAGCTTTCTGCAGAGGTCTGTCTCTAAGCGCTATTCATTTTAGTTCCGAAAATATTGTAGCAGACAGCTGACGTGCGTGTATTTGTAAACAGCTAGGTTCCCCCGGACCGATGACTGATGTGTTTTATTACGTTTATCATTGTTTTAGTGTTAAAAATCAAAAGTAGTGATATACGTGGTGCATTATAAGAAGATTTAAGTGGTTTTGAAGTGCTGGTTGATGATCCTGAAGAAGTAGGTAGTGATATTGATGTAAATTATCAGCCAGATTCCTAGCTATGGTTAGGCTATGCATTCTTAGCTAAACGCTATGTACTGAAATCAGTTTTTTGCCCATAACTTATTTATTTGCAAATATACTTCCTTATATTATTATATATTTGTAATCCTCATAAAATTTAGAACAAAGTGGCTATTTTCAAATATTTATAGGCCTATAATTTATACAATTTCATTGAGCGCGAACTTATTTTTTTTTTGAAAATTTTCGAAATTATATTTTTTTACCTAAAATTTTTTTTTTTTTTTAAATGTTCCTTATGTTTTATATATAATATTGAAGCCCATGATTTTCCAAACAAAATGGTATATAGAACATTAGAATTAACATCGTTTTAAGCTTCTCAGATCCGTTTTAATAAAACCTTGCAAATGCGCCAAAAATAGGTGGACATTAAGGCCTAAACTATGGACACTTGGAGGGTTAACCGACCTTTGGAGTTATCCAACCTAGGTCCGGTCCCATTAGGGTCGGTTAAGAGGGGGTCTAATATATAAGCTAATGTTTTCTTTGAAAAGTGGGTTGGGGTCATATTATAAGAGGTTCAAGATTACCAAAGGGAGAAATTTTGAGGTTTGTTGTAGTACATCAACTACAATAATAGGCATATGGTATTAAAACAATATGCTTATATAGGCTATACATTTTTGTATTCATTCTTTATCCATTGTATGTATAGAGGGCTAGCCTGTATTATTCATAACATTATTATTATATATTTCTTCAGGACTGTAAGTCGTTCCGGGTGGGCAGCTCGTGCTGTGAGTTCATCTGCTTAGACGACACCATCCTAAACCGTGACGGTGGCCATGACCTCAATGCAGACCTCGGTCTTCGCCTGATAGCCAGTGCCGTCACCGCCATCTTGTCTCTTTCCCTCCTTTTCTTTCTCATTCATCGACTGAGGCAGCGCAAGATCAGGGGTGAGTGTACTGACTGGTACTGTATTTTTGACAGTAATGTATAAAATTATGATGTTGTTAGTTTCACAAGAATAATTTAAAAAATAGCGACTTAGCAGACTAAAGCCTGGTGCAGTAGAACCTCGATTACCTGTGGAAATTGGGGGGGGGGGGAGGGGACTTACATAAGGAAATACAGTAGAACCTCTTTAATCCGAACCCCTGTAATCCGAACGTCCACTAATCCGAACGCCTCATTGCTGTAGGTTATGCACAGTACAGTAGTTCTTTATTGTATACTGTATTTATTGATATACGCACCGTAATAATTTCAATTGTAATGTACAGTACTGTTTATTCCCTATGTTTATTCCTATGTTTACTACTGTATTAATTAAACACTGTATTTTACTTTATAAAGCATTTTTCACTTTTCCTTAGCTATTGTTATGTAAAAACAACAATATGTTTTGTAATCCGAACTATTCAATAGTCCGAACTACCCCCGGTCCCAATTAGTTCGGATTAAAGAGGTTCTACTGTACATGACACACCCATAAAAACACCATAATGCCATATTTAATCACATAACATTAATATAATAATTTTGATTTTTACATCAACAAAATTCAATATTGCCTAATCATGGTAAATGCTCAAGTCATTAACCTTGTTTAAGTTAAAATAACACAGCTTCCTCAAACAAAAAAATACCTCGTTGTATAGCAATAAATCCCATAAAGAACAAAACAGAAAGTCTTGTAAGCAACTGCCTGAGGTAGGCTACCGGTAAATGCTGTTTCAGAACAGAGGAATGTGAGATAATAATATAGTACTCAACTCGCATCTGATGTTCCCGTAGTTGAAAACAAATATTTTTTCTTCTGTTCTTTCTCTTCATCCACACACTCAACAAGTTACCAGGGTTACTTATCAACCAATCACAGGCTACTAAAGTTGCCATGGTTACAGATCACCCAATCAAAGGCAGCTAAGCGTTATTTCATCATCAGCTGTTGTGGCATAACACACAGCATACAGATATGCAGCAATCGTGATGTCACCTTGGAGCTCAGGATCAATATTTCTTTGTTCTGCTTCTTGTCTACTTAAAATGAAAATAAATGCCTTTTATTAGCCAGCGCTCCTCAGTACAAACTGTTTTACATGATGACTCTTTTCAATTAACTAATGCTTACTTAAAACTAATGACCAAAACAAAATACAAATCAACCACCTATGTACAATATTTTACAAATATATATACACAAGCTGTACCCGCGGGCTTTGCCCCGTTTAACTTCATATGTGAGCTCGTTCTCATGGCTCAATCACGTCCTGGTTGAAGTTCGTTCGCTACGCTCACTCACCTTTAGGTTGGAGCTCGTTCGCTGCGCTCACAAGTCCTGGTTGAAGTTCGTTCGCTACGCTCACTCACCTTTACGGTTGGAGCTCGTTCGCTGCGCTCAATTGCCTTCAGGTTAGCTCGTTCGCTACGCTACCTCGCCTCCGGGTTGAAGTTCGTTCGCTACGCTCACTCACCTTTTGGTTTCAAATTAGCTGTTGTCAAATATTAAAAAAAATAATAGTGCTGCACTCTGTTGGTAATCCTTGCAACTTTAATGCTATTGAACATCATAGAACAGAACCAACTTGTTTAATTGAAACAGCTGTTATGATTCATTAATTCCATTTAAATATGAGTACTCATTAGGTTAACATGGGAAACTCCAGAGCCACTGGGGCGGAGCCCGAGAGTCCGATCAGAATAAAAACCACTTAGTTTTCCTATTTAATGCTTAAAGAATCAGTGTACCAAATTTCAGCCTCTTAGGTAAGTGGGAAGTGGGAGAATTAGTGATGAGTGAGTGAGTGAGTCAGTCAGTCAGTCAGTCAGTCAGTCAGTCAGTGAGGGCTTTGCCTTTTATATATATAGATTTTCTTCAGCCTAGATCTAAAATCTGCGACACCCAGCATCTTAAGGTCACGGGGGAGGTCATTGTACAGTTTAGGCCCAAAGTATGCAAAACCTCTCTTACCTATTTCCAACCTCACCTTCGGGAAGTCAAGTTGTTTGTCTTGTCGGGTATTGCACTGAGACACCCGATTGCGGGTGACCAATCTTTCAATGTTCGAAGTAGGCCGGTTCCCTTTCGGTCAGTACCCTGTGTACCCTGCACACAGCTGCTGAGGACAAGAGGCCGGCAGTTTTTTCAAATTGAGATATATATGGTCTCCTTTCCGAAGATCATGTACAAATCTCACTGCGGTGTTCTACAGTCTTTATTTTTGCGGGCTATGGTCTTAATGCATATAGGATATGGGATGAACGCTCTAGTAAAAAAATAAAAGTTTGAAGAGATGTGAAATTTCTGAAGTACAAAAGCAAGCATTTTGGCAAAGAAGAAGACAAAACAAGGATTATTGAAGACAAAAATAGTATAAATGATGAGAATGATCAGAAAGAAGACGAAAATGAAGATAGTTGAGAGTGAGAGTGCAGATAAATCAGATAATCTAAATGAGATAAGTAATAATGAAGTTTAGAGTTTGGGTTGGTTTCAGACCAAAATGAAATCAATGAAGAACAGCAAAGTGAAAGTAATACTGATACTACACAAAAGATCAAACTAAGAAGAGAAACTAAACTACCTGATAGATATAAAGATTTTGTGATATTGACATATGAAGAAGCAATCAAAGGACCAGATAAACAAAACTGGCGACAAGTAAAAATAAAATATACTAATTATTGTAACAGTAAAACCTTAGGTTAGTAATTTACTTTCACTTAAGTCAACGAAAGGAACTCACCTCACTCATTGCATTAGGGCTTTCAGTCATGTGGCGATGAATTTTTGCATCGTATATGTTTCATGGAGTCAATAAACGTATCACTGACCTTATATCGCACGCGGCAGGTGATTAGATGGTATACAAATTTTTTTAAACACATAGCGAAGCTTGCATGTCAGCTACAGAGCTGTAAACTGTGTCATCCAGTTAAAAAATTATGCTAGTAAGTGGCGGGGAGCCATGTTGCAGCATACAAGCGAACTACGGATTCTTACACAAAAGCGGCCCTAACTTAAAAAACTGCTCTTGTAATTAAAGTTTTACTCTACATAGGAAAAACATAGGTTTAGGGTTTTATTAATTTTACTGTACTAGATATGTAATCAATACTCTGACAAAATAAAGCGATGAAGCCATTACCTATACCAGCTATGTAATGGTGGAGTCAATACAACCATAGACAAAAATTAACAAAAGTGCTCTTACAATAAAAAAAAATCCCCTATAGAAAATGTCCTTTTACACAGGTCGCCAAAGTCGACAGTTGAGTGAAGACTCCCGCAGTCTGGGAAGTATCGGCTACATCGCTGGGAGTCTCGGCTACCTCCCACCAGCACTGGGCTGTCAGGACTTCCACTATGAGGAGGCATCTTCTCACTTCCCTCTATGGAAACCTCCAGGAAACTACTTCCCACGAGGGGAGGCTCCGCCCCCGTATGAGGAAGCGGTGGCAGCTGCACGCGCAGAGGCAGCATTGGCCGCTAGAACCACTCCCGGTGAGTTACAAATACAAAGTCGATGTAATGCGAACCGGAAGGCTGCAGAGATTAAGAAATACTGGATGAAAAGAGATGGATTTGAAACTCAAGACATAATTTATCACATTTTCTTTTTACTTCCAATTAATGGTTACTAACTATAACAGTAAAACTTACATGAATTTATTTACTTGTAGTAGAAAAATGCTTAAATTACTTTTTCAATATTCATGGTTATGATACTGGCTACACACTTGCTGGCTTACCGAAAATCGAAACCGCTGGAGATCAGGTGCCAAGTTTTTGGGACGAGTGTGGTTGTTAAATAACAACTTAGTTGTGTTTCTGATCAATTATGGTTTACAGTTTGTTTTTCCCAAGCAAATTAATTTTCAAGTAAATATATTTGTTAACAAAACTTATAGTTATGAGACGAGGCTTAACAAAGTTTCCTAGAATCCAAACAAAGGATTAGCTTTTTTACATTGAGCCGTACCATCAGTTCATATAGCTTAAGTAAAAAAATTAATTAACTTTTTTTCGGAAATGAGTCTTTGAATGTTAATAATTTGAAAAAGGTAGGCCTACCCACTGAAACATTTATTTAAATTTGCCCTTATGATATAGATTCATATTTACCTTCCTAACTGTTTGCTCTAAACAACAACTACATACCACATTTATTTATTCTTTAGCCATTGTATCATGAATTTCTGTGATTATCTAGGTACCAGTCTGAGTCTGCTGCAGCACCAGCATCGTACCATCCCTCTGACACTAGCCACCAGTGGGCCTCTGTCTCCGCCACCCCCAGAGACTAGACTGGCCACTATACGGCCGGACTTGTTCTTCCAGGAGGTGGTGCGGGACCCAGCAGCTCCGCCTGTTGTGTCCTCCTCCCCAGCTACTGTCACTCCTACGTTTACCATCGCTGATACAGGTCAGTGACATAACCTTACTGTGTCTACCCCAGCAGCCTCTCCTGTTGTGTAATACGCCATAAAAAAACTATTTCAGCCAAGTCATTAAGATTAAATGTGATGTTTTATGTTGAGAGTAGATGAAATACTTGTGCTTTTATAGGTTAATTAAAGTGATAACTTTTCTGTTTTGATTGGGATAATATGTTATGATAATACGCTATTGCTATATCATCGCATTGAGCCAGATGCATATTGAATCATATACATTGTCATTAAGATGTTTCTGCTATAAAAAAATATGTCCGATAGCAAGAGTTAATTACAGTGTTACTTCAAACATTGGAATTGATCACAATATCACCATGATCCTAAGAGTTAATCGTAATGATGGACCACTATTTTAGCCTCTATTCCATTCTCTTTATAGTACTTTCCTACTGTAACCTACCCCTCATATCAAGTTGTATATTACAGTAGCCAGTGGCAGGAGTGTGCTTTTAGAGACACAGTGTGTGAGACCGTCCGTACACACTACCTTGCCTACTGTCATGGAGGATGATGATTACCGCAGCGAGTGCGAGAACTGCAACATGAGTGAGCAGTTTGACGGAGAGATGGAGACGATGACGTTACATCGGAGACCTCACGAGGAGGCGGAGGAACCGTTCCCTCCTTACCGAACATCTCTGACTCTCCCGACCAACTGTCGTCGGCAAAGGTCGGTCTGTGATTCATGCTCATGATTTTATTAATTTGTCTGAAAGTGTTTGACATTTTTTAACTAAAATGCAGAGATTTCAATATAAATGTTTAAAAGGTTAAAAGGGAACAAAAATTAGGGCACCAAATTTTCACAAGGATCTTTATATATTTATTTTATACTGTAGACTCATTTTTTTTAGACAATGACAGTGTCATAATCAAGGAAATCATTCACTTCGACCTCCGTGTACAGTGACATCCTTGGGTGAATTGGCTTTTCAATTTACTTCATACATATGAGTGTCAGAATGAACTTCTGAAGGGCTTCCATCTGTTCGCTGGTTATTAATACCTCCAGGTATTTACTATGGATGATGCCAATTCTGATTTCTTCAGCTGCTTGCTTGTTTCCTTTGGTCGGTGGTCTCTGAGTGGCAGGACCTGTCTCTGAAGTGCTTTTATTTTTCCTGCTCTTTTTATTTCAAGCTTCTTCCAGGGTAGTATTATTCAACCTAGATATTTTTGGCGTGTTGTTGGACTCTTGCTGTTCTTTTGGTCTGTAGGGTTTGTTTTGAGGCTTATATAGCCGTTGCCTATTGTCTAGAGTATCCGTTCTTGAGACGAGAAGTCATTGTGACCTCTTGAATTGAAAAAAAACGCTCATCCTAATCGTCGGTCTATTGCCAGCATTACGGTACGTCCAGAGTGCACACCGACTCAGATTTAGATTCCTATTCAGATTTTCAGTGCCAAGAATGGCACTTGCATTCGAATGGAAGTGGCCATAGTTTCTGCCGGTTGCCGAGCCCGCGCTCAGGCACCTGCTTACCGCAATGAATTCTTCATTCTAGTTTCAGATATTGCTCGTACGTATACTGTTTAATGAAACAAATTTGGTTTTTATAATAAAATATTTAATTTTTCATCCTTACTTTTAGGGTTTCCTCTAAACGGTCTTCAGGATTTTTTTTGTTTGAGTAGGTTACACCAGTTTCTACAATACAATGTTCATTTTTAATATTTTATCAGTTTCGAGCTCCATTCAACGCAATATAGCAGTAGCTCTATCTTTACTAGCTATGGGAAAAGAGATATATAATATCACAAACACCATCTTTCACTGTCTGTAACTTCACGACAGTTTCAGACGCTATAATTTTTAACGTTAATTCCTCATCCGACAATTCCATAACTAGGACTGACTTGCTTCTTTGCTTTAACCGAGTCAGTACTGGCGGCGTATTTCCTGCTTCCACTGTGGCCACCAACAAAATATCTGACTCAGAATAACCACGTGCCGAAAATCTGAATCTGACTCAATCTGAATCGGCGTGCACTCTGGACGGTTAGGTTGCTTGCCCCATTTTTTCACTCTTTTTTTGTCTGGGACTTGAAATACTTGAGGAGGCCTTCCTTCCCTCATAGGGTCATTGAATATCCTCCTTGAGATGGTTTGAAGGGAATTCCTAAGAATTTGTGACTTGTGGCATGCAACAGCCTTAGGTGTTGTTTGTTCTTCATTTGCAAATTTATTTGTTGTTTCCATCTTGGCCCCACAAGAAGCTAGGGAAGATTGGTCGACCCAGTCATAGCACCGCAAGTCCGGGGAAGGCTACTTGGATTTGGAGGTCACCTGGTCTCCATATTCTAGGTCAAACTCCCCTTGACCATTCAGCCCTTAGTGTATGGTCCACCTTGGTTTGGGATGAATAGAAGAACATGAAATGAAGGAATTCTGAGGAAAAGATAGTAAGAACAATTTTTTAGTAAGAGGCAAAAATAAAGTAGTGAGAAACAGAAAAAAATAAATGACATAGAATGGAAGCCCACCAGTTCAGCACCCGGTCCTCATGGAAGATTGACAGAACAGTGAGTACTTAGTAGGAAGGCAGCGCTTCATGGACATATTGGCTTGACCCCTGGGAAGCTTAATCACTCAATCACTTCCCAACTCTTTTGTATGGTTAATACATCAAATATTTGCTAGCAAATTAATACTCAATGCCACAACTTTGTTGAAGTCAATTTTCTCTTAAGATGGGGCCATATATAGAAACTGAAACTTTGGTGAGTAAGCCTATTATTCCATTGACTGTTGATGGTCATCGGCAGAACACAAATCCAAGGTATGCAACCTTGGAAGACTATGTATATAGATTCTTGTGAAATTTGTGTAAAATAATTTAGCTGATAAAGGCTTAAGATTAGTGGATGGATTTAAGATTTGTACTGTTAAGTAAGGAAACCCTTTGTGAAGAACCAAAGTAAACCAGAAACTAGAGGTTAGAGAGCAGGACTTCATTCCTGTATGTGTTTCTTTAAAATGTTTAAATCAAAGACTTAGTTGTCTATAATGTGTGACTTACTGGTTAAGAGCCCTCTTCAAATTGGAGGTCTTCCCAACTAAAAAAATGAAGGTCTCTCAGGCGAGGAGAAATATTCCTCTGCTGAGGAACTCTATTAAAAACCATCCAATCATATAATTACTTTATATAATTTACTCATATTATTACTTATTTGTTTAATAGATCAACAACAATGGGTGCTCCTGCTCAGGCAGGTGCTCGGGAGAACTGGTTCAGTAGCATGCCTTCGTCCACTTCATCCTCTGAAGACGAAGAGTAACTGACTCTGATGTAATTGGTGCATAAACCGTCTTAAAGTTCATCACACAAACTGATAGATTAGAACCGGTCGACGTGATGAACAGTCTTGTCATACCAACATCAAGGTGGGTTAGTGTTTGAGAACTTGGTGCTTCAGTCAATAGTTGTTACCTTTTTAATAATTGAAAACAGTTTTACTTTGAATATTTATTAGTTTTGTTGTTTGTATGTAAAATTCTGTTGCACACTATCATGTGATTGTAGCCCTATGGACTTGTTTGTGCCAAAGTTTGAGTTGGTTCAAACCCACGGTTGTTTTATAAATTTGTGTTCAAACATTTCTATTTTCTGTAACATCTGTCAGCCACTGTTAACATTTTCAATGCTTAGTGTAGATTTGCTTGAACTCAAGTTTAACGGGTACGTACCATGAATTTCCATGAAAGTTTGCTAAAAACAGAATATCAGTTCTAAAATAACTTGGTAGTGGTGGGTTATTCATTATAAAGTACAACTAGCCTACTGTAGTAGTTTTACTACTGTCATATTTTAGTTTTGTAAAATAGTAATCAGTTGCAAATTATCTTTTAACATTTTTTGTAATCAATACACATTTTGCCTTTGATATTCTTTTGACAGTATATGCTCTGTGATTGTCCTTTGTAGTTTATTTCTTAATAAACAACAAATTATACAATATAACAAAAACAAATAACACATTACAACATAATTACAACATTATAACAAATAACAAATTATAGTTTTAAAACAGAATATTTAACTAGGTTATTGTTTGTTTGGTTTTGTTTTTATTTTTTGCTAGATATAAGTGACCTTTATTAGGGAACAGTGTTGTTTTACTGATTTAAGCGTAATGTTTTTACAACCCATCACTGCCCCTAAAATTGATTCTATTGTTGTCTTTATAAATGTCAAAATATTTTAAAGGTGTAAGACATAAAAACAGGTCAAATTTATTTAACCAATATTTTCTATTTTTATACAGATTTTCATATTTTTATTACTTTACACAGTTTAATTTGTATTATAAATATTACCAAGCATTTTACTTTATGACAATTATGTTCCATGTATTTTAATCACTTTGATAAACAAAAACTGTAATACTCTAAATGTGTTCTGTGTTTTGAACTTTACTCAACGAACCACAGTGACTGTAAATGTGTGAAACAAGTGTAATTAAGTGTTAAAGATGTGTTGACATGTATTGTCACCGTGTGACTTTGTGTGCATTAAATGCTCAACGTGTGCGTGAACGATGGATGCTAGGTGTTGTTACGATGTGAAAGTTTTACATTTGTTATTCTCGATATGTGTTGACTACATTTTGTGAAGTAGCAGGGACTTTGATGCTTCAAACCTGTCAATCAGAATACTGTGAAAAGCCAAATGGCAAATATATTTAAATTTGCTTACATTATACAAATAAACAACACAATTAAACTGGAAGTAACATTTAAAAGTTGAGATCAACTTATCTTTGTTTGAACTTTTTAACAGACTTTTACAGAATCAAAACTTGTCGTTTTTGTTTTGTAGCCTAAGATGAATAAAAAGTCCCTGTTACGTGTTACCATTGTACTGTGATCAGTAATCTAGTCTTATTGTTACAATTTTTATCAATGTTGTATGCATATTTTGGAAACATTCCGTTTATACCGTTTTAGTTTCATTTTAAAGTATTATGATAATTTACCAACTCGAGTCATTTTTAGATATTCAAATTTGAACCTAGATAAGTCTTTAAAGCTGCCACAAAAGTCAACTTAAATGGCTATTGTTTGAAGAAAGTCTCATAGCTTTTACAATCCACAAAATCACCATTGAGTGAGATTAGCATTTTGTTTTACTAAATTACCATATTTTATTGATTTTAATCAGCTGTTTGACAGCAAGTTGAGTGGAACAGAGCCTAATGAGTAGTCGAGCACCAAATCTATTAGTTTACTCTAAGTTACATGTAAGGTACCAAAGAAGAGTAAGGTGCCAAGAGAGAGGTTTTTTTGTGATATTATCATGACAAAAAACTGCATCTACTGAGATTGCACAACGATTTTGTTATGATTGCTTGCCACCATATTGTCTCCTTGAATGCAGGAGGTGTACAATCTAAGTAGGCCAACTGTATTTAGTTTATTTGACTCGATTTGGAACTTTATAATATATATATTTTACAAGTTGTCCATTATGTTTAATGTTTAATATTTAGTTTTGAAATAATGGCAAATATTAGTTTTATCAACAATTTTAAATAGTATTGTTTGTTGTTGACCTTGTTGCAGATTATCTTACCATGACAAATATGCTCAAAGTTGTTTTATTTAAAATAATTTATTAAGTAAGTCGTTGTTTAATTAGATTTTAATAAGTTTATTTATTTATCTACAAAACATATTTATATGTATATTTATTTATGTAGAAAAAATTTTAATTTTTTAATTATATTTATTTATGTATAATGAAAAATCAAATAAATGTTAACCTTATTGTAACATAAATTAAGTATTACCTATATTGGTAAGTAACATTTACCATATAGAATTGAACACTTTGAATCCATTTATGCTTGTCAAAATTAATTATCTATCCAAAGCATCAGTGTTAAATATTACTGATTGATTAATAAAAAAAATATTTTTCCTCCAGTTACCTGACTAAGCAGGCTTCCTTGCACTGATTATAGCATGCAAAGTAGCTTATTGCTGCATTAACTTACTTTTGCTGCACCCATTTTACTTTGCTGCACTCCGGTATTCCAACCAAACAACATAAAGCAGTTTGCTTTTATAAATCACATAATGGTATACGCTTGAAAATAATTTGGCAACACTTACAGATACTACAATACTCAGCTGGTGCAGCGTTTCACAGCCTTTGACTATTGATACTAAGACTTAACCTGTTGTTTCGTGTTAACATTCTAGTTTCGCTTAACTTTAGGATTTAACCTAACCTAAAACGTGTTATTTAAGGTTTGAAAGACTATATGCTTTATAGTGACTGCAGGAAAAATATAATGTGTAAAGTGAGCGCAAAGTGCCACTTTGCGCACTAGCATTGACTTTATTAGTTACACAAATAACTATTATTAATGTTGTATTAAACACAACATACAAATACTGTATGTATGTTACCAAATGACAACATTCCTCGTACTAAAACATTGGAGAGAGACAAATAATTTACAATGTTTTGAATTTGTATTGTTTAGTAGTAATTTTAATTCCTGCAATGTTTCCCTTGCTACAAATACTAAGCATTAGATCAACTTAGTCTAAAGTTAAACATAAAATAAGGCAACATAGTAGTACTAAAATCACATTTTCAAATTTCCAAACATATTCTAGTCAACTTTGTAACCAACTGTAATGTTTGCAGGAAGAACTAAAGTATTATTTTATCCTCATAGACATTAATTTCCATACATTAATATCATTCTTTAAAGATTCCAGTTTTTCAATACTATTAATTTTCGGTAGCTTAATTAACTCTTACCGATTTCAATTACTTACGAGTGTTTTTGCCGAGCTCAAATATAAATTGGACTTGTTAATGTTATGTAGTGTTACATGTATTAAGATTATTCTTACTTTAAATTCTGGCCTAATTGTAAATAAGCATTTATATTGAAGTTTATGTTGATTTAGTACACAAATTGTGTTATTGAAAAGTTTCATATTTGAAATGTGTGCCCTTGTTTTTACTTTTATGTTTCAAAACTATGATTACAATGTGTTTTCTATTTTAATTACTTGTTATGAACTGATTATATACTAAGGGTGTATACATTTCATTAGATAACAATAAGAAAATATCTCTTCAATATAATCTTGTTTCATTATTGTCATACACCTACACCCAAATATCCAAAGAACCAAGAACCACCGAATAAAGATTTAAGGTAGATCCATCCTTCATAATGGATCATTCATTGTGCCTCTAGATTCCTGTTTGATATTATTTACAATTACAAACTGGTAAATCTTTTCTGATACATTTTCTCTAAAGCTTAAAGGCTACAGTACACTGACACTCCCTTAGGACCGAGAAAACACTCAAGAAACATTGAGGTTGCATTGATTTTGAGGTTAGGGTTACAGAACCACATTAGGAAGTCAAATATTCGTAAAATATATGTTCTAGAAATACCAAATACATACCAAATCAAAGATTATCAAATTGAATTTGCATTTTTAAGCCATTTTTTTAATAAGAGTGTTATTAAATAAAAAATAATACAAACATACTTCTTCCATGGTCTTTCTTTTGAAAAACTTTAAAGACAGTATTATTATCATCATGCTAAACCAATACACTACAGTATATTTTAAACAATAATAAGACAGATCTTTCTAGTTTAATAAGTATAAAATTTCATTTTCATTTTGTTCAAAGCTATAGCTTTTTGACCTAAGCTATAACTTGACCCAATAATGTCTACAACAAATCATCGTAATGTAAAAGTTTGACACTGACTTTTGTCTGGAGATGGCTTGTCGGGTTTGGACCATCGATCTCCATTATTGTTGGACCAACCTATTACGGTGTGATTTAAATTTTCTAGGTGATGGCATATTATTCTTATGTAACACGTAATGGTTATTTCAAGTAGCCTATTAGTTTTAACAAATCACAAATTACTTGCTATTTCTAAGAAGAATAAAGTAATTTTTTCAAATAAAAATTACAAATATATATTTAGGCCTGTAACGACCTTAGATAACCCGAGGGCTCGGATAATCGAGAGTGTACTGTACTAGGAAAACAACTAAAAAGGGATAGAAATGTGAATATCAACACGTTCCTGGAATAAACCATTTTTAACTCCGTTTTCATAACATAACCCACAAGAACAGCATCTGTAAGAGTTAACTAGATTGTTCTGTAAACTCTTAAAAAAATAAAGGGCTTTTTAACATTGGAGATACAGAAATGCTTTTCATACTGCAAGGCAAATAAATGGCTGTTTTCAATTGATATCTTTGTGAAAATAAAAAAATAGTTAAAAATAATAGGTAATTAATTACACATGCCAAATCAGATCTAATGGTAAACGCCCTATAGCTACACATCTTGGTTAAATAATACACATATTACAAATCGTCTTTTTATTTCAATTGTCATACAAAATAGTTATTTATTTTTTCCGAGGGTCCGTTGTTTCTCGGCGAACTGTACAATCTTCTGTTGGACTGGGAGCCCCTTCCTTCTTCGCACCTGGTCCATGTACTTACGTGCGCGGTTTTCCGTGTCGGCTTTCTCTCCGTAGTGAAGATACTCTTCCTCGGTCCTCGGTTCCCAGTAAGGGTCTACATCGATAACCTAAAACATATTGTGATTCATAGTCTCTTTATATTGTGAGTCCATTTTTATTTCAGTCATCATTTTAAGATGTTATTGAAACTAAATCGGGATTCCTTTCAGTCCACTGGTTATCCAGGTGGAAGTTCTCTGTGAGGACACGATTAAGATTAAATTTGGTGTACCAGTGATATCTCCTGGTTATCCTACAGGAAATCATGTGTTATGATATCCCTATTATTTCCTACAGAATTTTATTTTTAAATCACATGAGTACTTAGGTTTGCCGCTACAGGGAAGGTAATAAAGTGATTTTTTGTGAAATGTTAATAGTTTAGTATGAAGTAAAACATTTTCCAAATTTAAACAAAATATGTTCTATAAACCAGCAAACTACAACAGTTTACTTATTTTCTATATAAATAACATGGGAATTTTAAATTTATAGGTTTTTTAAAATTTTTTCTTAACAATTAGGCCTATGCCCATGAAACACATAAATATACAAAATTATGTGTTTTCCAGACTCTATGAAATGATTTAGAAAGATATTGCAAAATTTTATGTTATTAGGTCATAATGATTAACACCAATTTTTACCCTGTGAACCCCAGTTCACATAGTCCGATCATACTGGTTCGCCAACTCTTTAGAATAAAATGTAGGTTTACACCAAGATGCATGGAGTACTTTTACTCGATACATCTTGGGTTTACACAGTCAATCAAATTTCATGAAAATCATTTTTCCTTGAGTTATCGTGCTAAAGACGAGCGATTTGCCGGGTATGTGGCTGTGCTGTTTAGACCTTTTACAACAATTTCTTTGTCCGATTCATCAATTATTGTGCTTCTAGAATTCTTTGCTGGTTCAACATAATTTAAACAGTGAAGAAGTTCGAAGTACCACAATACACGTAAATGTGAGCACCAGCACCGGATTTCAAGGACTTTGACAACCTCCTTCTTGTACACTGTTCTTAATAAGTTTATTTTCTTTACAGAAGTGTTTTGAACGATGTTTTTTGGCCTCTGGGATCCTCAAAACGAAAAAGTAAATCAGTCCCGGGTCCAGGTCTTACTATGATACCTGATACCTACGGTAATAGCTGTCTGGGGAATTCGCTAAAATTGAAACTGCGATAGTCTGTTGACACCATAAAACTCACTAGTAGGGTAGGGACATACGATCCTGGTTTTGCTGGCACCTACGTACATCAGTTCCATTCGTCACAAAGTAATAGTGGGTGAAATCCTGTCGGGGACTTCTTGACGTGCGACAACAGTGTTTTGAATCCAAGGGAAATAAATCGATCTAGACACATGAATGGGGAGGCTGCCGGGGGGCTGCAAAACGGACGATCAGTCAAATTTTGAAACCCAGGGCGCCGGGGGCCGGAGCTGGGTCGGGGCTGGGTCCGTGACGTCCAAATTGCAGCCCACGCCCACTGACTGACGGGTGCCCGCCTTGGCTTTTTATTTTTTCCAAATTGTACAGTGGAGGTTGAAGCTGAGATTCCCAGAAAGCTACAACCATGCTCAAGGGTCGTCAGAATGATGCACAAAAATCTCTGTGCGTTGAGTGAACAAGTAAAAATAGAGTTCAATTGCGAGAAAAGAACGAGACGCATTTACTACTATTTATTTATTTACACGGTAAACACAATTTTTACAACAAATACATTAGTTACATGTTCATGACAGTATGAATATTGGACAAAAGAGGAACAATATAAAAAACTTTGCTGACGCATAATCCTTTATCGATTTTTCATACTGATGAAAAGAGGCCTGCCTCTTTCCCCATTCTCTTCTAAGTATAAAAATATTGCAATACACTCACACGCTTTTTCAGTTAGACAGACTGTCAGTATTCTGTCTATCTTAACATAATGAGATTCTAATGACATATTGACGTTGCTTTCAACACGTGACTGTAAATTTTTCAAGAAATACCATTGATTATATGTATAGTCAATGACAATGCACACAGATAGTGAAGTAGCCATCCCATTTACTGTAGCCATTATTGTTATAGACCTACACGTAGATCGATGAGCCTCTCACAAAGAGCACTATGGTCAACATTGTATTTCCTCACATAGACTTTAATACTTGATGTTAGTTCTACAATCGTTGTTATCTAAGCTTGGCTTGATTAGAAAGTTGCCGTATTCCATAGAAATAAATAATTAACTGTGTGCTCTGTTGGTTGGTTACGGTTATTTTTATTCTATAACTTGCTACAGCTTTAACACAGAATTGTTACCTATTCTCACATCTATTTATTCTCTGAGCCTAAACTACTGAAATCACGTGAAACCATGTACAAGACGCTCAATCTCGATCACTCATTGCATTTACCTGGTTACCCACCACTATTATAAACTAAACGCAGCCTTCAATAATGCACGAAGAACGTCCAGGCGAGACTAATTCTTCGGTTGTAATTCGCTCACGAAACCCATTTAATATAATCTACTATAAATTACCCGGCTACGGTATACGTGGATCAATCCGACTGCTTTCTACCTGGAATCTGAAATGAGGAGGGAGGGCCGAGGTGGTGGGCGAGTGGAAAATGTCATAATAACCTGTTTGCCCAGAAACTGTGGTTCGTGATTTATAAAATCGGACGGTCCATAGTCCACCACTCGCAGGCTCCGACTATAAATAAATTGGTTTACCTTATGGTTGCCAGGTTCTTGAAAATTGTAGACTTCTTGCTCGATGCACATTTCATTTATTAATTTATTAATCATTCGTCCTTGAAACTGGGAATAACCACAGACTATAAATAATATCGTAGGACCTAGTGTGCTACCCTGAGGCACTCCGTGAACAGCCACTGGCTATGGCGAACAATAAACGCGCTCTTCCTTGACATTATAGTCGAATTCGAAGGAGTACAATTCCACATAGGCGATAGGTAAAGCAAATGTGTTATGTCGGAATCTAAATATCCCGAGTTTTACAAAAATTTCTTAAATTTTAACTTACAAATTATCCTCTTGCACTGCAACAAATGCCGTAAAAGCAGTTGATAGTGGGTGTGGTTAATAATTGCGGAATAAGAATAGTATGTGTGCAAGGCATTCTTGAGCAAGTAAAAAGCCTACATTCAATTAATTTGTAGCTGGGTGATGGATACACTATTTGGCATAAACGATTTCATTAAACTTCAATAGTAATTCAGTAAATGGTGAGGAAATGCATCATTCTCTGAAATGTAGACAAAACCTATTAACACGTGTTTTGAGAAATAAGCAAAAAGGGTCCTTCATGTACTTGCATTGCCAAAACTTCCTAAAACACGAAGGATCCACTATGTACACGCATTGTGGAAATGACTGCTTTTTTCTTGAATAAAGACATCTTATGCTCATATCACAGTAACATCAAATACTGTATCTATAATCCTCCAGTAAAATAAAAAAAAATCAATGACATAATTTGAAGTTTTGGACAGAAAAAAGTTTTAGATACTCAATGACATAATTTTAAGTTTAGAACAAAGACGAGTCATTGAAGTGAAAAGCAAAACTAAGAGACCACTTTGTTACATACTGTAATCCCTTATTTAAATGTAATATTGTCGAAACCTCTTAAACATGGTTGGTACTGTTTGTGTGCATCCCAGAAAAAAGAAAAGATACGTCACATATCCATCATCCTCTAAGAAAACTCCAAAATCTCCAAACAACACGAGGGATCCACCGTGTTGTGGAAGGACGTTCGAACCGATGGTCCAGAGGGAGTACAAAGCGTGAACGGAAACTAAAAAAGAAGGAAAAAACGGGAGTCTCCAGTCACGTGGCCGGCACGGGGCAGATGTGAGAATCTGTGGGAACTTTGGGCAGGTGCGAGGTGCGTCTCAGGTGTGGGGAAGTCCACTGCACGCCCCCCGCACCCCATAAGCTACTGTCCTAATTGCTGCAAGGGGTGATCTACTTTTACTGGTAATCTGTTTTCGGAAAGAGGTGGGTTTGGATCTGCTTTGATGCAGTTTAAAATATATTTTTCAATGCATAGTTTTGTCACAATTTATAATGACAGACAAAAAATAGAGACGAAACTATGAGAGGCCGACTGCTCCTTACGTAAGACCAATGTAGAGCGTCAATATGTAATAATGAACAAGACATGAACACTTAAAAAGTACTCCGATGTTGGTAAGAATCGCAAAGTATTTGTCTTTTATGCGCTCGAACAAAAAATTAGTCGATATTGTTATTAAAAAAAATTGTTGGAGTAAATTACTTGGAGACTGAAGATTAAACTTTTAAGCGTATTACGGAAAGCCGTATTTTCATCTATAAAGCCAGCATTAAGCTAAATCCTAGTAAAAAAATTGAAAGAAGCTCTGTCCAAGATATCTGGCCAACAGAAGCTCCTAGATATCGTCGTCGTAGTGATTGATGTTTCCCTCCTTATCGTTCCACACCTCTCGAGAAACTCACGTCTAATCTACTCTCAACTCTGTTTGTATGGAACTTGTAAATTCGTTTGTCAATAGATAAAACACGATCAGGGGAAACTGGAATATAATTTGATGTATTTGTTTAACAAGAAACTATCTGGTACTATCAAATCTGGAGTATATCTATGATAGTGTGCACTACAATGAAATATAAATTACAGGTCAAAAATGGTCTTAGAGTAAGTGGAAAAAGTGCATTTAAATGGAGAGCAGTAAGTCATTTATATTGCAAATTAAAACTAAATAGTTCGTAGTGAGCACTAAAGCCTATTCCAGATTTTCCGACTAAGGATCTCATTGACATGACCGTAGATTAACAACAGTGTTTCATCAAGGGGCATGAAGCCCAAAATATATACAGTACAGAGAGTCTTGACGGGTTATTTACTCGACTAAGTTTGCAGACTTATAATTACTCAGGTTTGGAAAGTTTGCTAAAATGAGGAGGATAAATTATTTGAGTTACATGATTGAACACCTAACACCCAATATACCTTAACTTAGGCTGACAATAATTTTGGTTTACGTAGATTGGAATCCAA